ACTTCTTTCCTGCAGATTGCTTTTTGGATTTCCCCTTCGAAGCCTTTTTAGGAGCCTCCTTGGACATCGAAGGAGGAGGAGACCAAAGTCACCTCCGAGCGGACCGTGGAGACTGACTGGACAGATTCCATGTCCGACGGTTGGGAAGCAGACAAAGTCCGATTCCAGAGGAAATACTTGAGGAGTTGCTGACGAGATTTCAGAGTGGCCTTGGTGAATTCTTTGCAATGCCTGCAATGGGCCGGCAAATGGGCCTCACCCAGACAGAAAAGACAGAGGGAATGATGATCCTGGAAGGGAAGCTTCCCGGAGCAGGCAGAACAGCGGCGAAAAGGTCCTTTTTTCGATGACATAAGCCAAGCGGCAGGAAACAGAGGAGAGATTTAGTAATTGAAAGAGTCCGAAAGGCACGTGGCGCCTCAGCAGGAGGTAATAGGCCTCAATCAGGATCAAGCGGGAAGTGAAAGTACTTGCAATTAGATCGCCAGAGGCAAAGAGAGGTCAGTCGGTCCGAGTTCAGGGCAACGGAGGTACGGGTAGACGAAAGGCAAGCCAGGTCAAGCCGAAAATGTTCGAAAATATAGCGAAAGGTGAATAAGCTCTGGAGCTCTATCCGAGAGGTTCCAACTCCGCGGGCGGATAAATGGAACTAAGGTTTTGGCGGGCTGAGCGTGCGCAGTATAGGGCAACCTAAACTTTGTATCTTTTTCCTCATAGCTCTGGAAAATTCCGAGGGGAACCAGCGCAGGCGCTGTTTAACCCACCAGTGTGGATTCATAGAGAACCACGTTGAAGACCAAAACATTATTTGGAGAGCAGAGCTCTTATTTTAAATTTTGGCATCATTTAATTCAAACAGATTCAGTTTTATCAAATTGTGTCATAGAAATAAATAAAAACCAACTAATCTCCAAACGATTTCTCCCAATCTTGCCTCCTAATTTTAAGAGCATAAGTGTAACCCTTTGTGTCACAAAAGAAAGCCACACCCCGAAAATCCCACGGTTTTTACCTTTTTTTAAAAAGGCAGCAAGGACTTCAATTCCTAACAGCCACAAATGCAGGCATTATAAGTGGAAGGATATACACACACCTGCAGTACCTACGCAGTACTGTTAGAATAACTATAATAAACGGACACTAGTCACTATTTAGCAAGAACTTCTGTCATTTATAAGCCTTCAAAAGATGTTTTAAGATTAAGATCAGTGGCTTCCTATCTATTTTTCCAAAAGCCATGACCATGATCATCTGGCTGTGTCCGACAGGCTTCTGGGAGCTTTAGTTCAAGAACATTTGGGGACACAGATTTGGGAACCATTGGTTTACTTTTCTCTCCTTTGTATATATATGGGATGAAGCACCGGTATTCAGGGTAATCTAAATTTTAAGACAAGATTAGTTTTCTTTTCTTAGTATAATTAAAAATCTCTTATCAACTGGCTGTATTAAGGAGACTGCTACTCCTATATACACAGCACACATTCCTAGTTCAGAGAAGTTTGTCCAAAAAGTCTGAAGAAAGGGACTGCATTCAGTTTCCGGTACTATGAATCAAGCCTCTTCTGCTGGCTCAAAAACTCTTGCTGTAGAGCCCCAAAGAAACAACTAAAAGTGTCAGCATCAACATTGTCCAGCTTGAAGGTAGACAACAACTACACTGATTTATGTATAACTGTTGTACTTCTCTCTCTTACTCATACACACTCTCACAGGAGCAATCAATTAATATTTGAATATTAAATACACATAATAATTAAAGTCCAAAAAACACACATGGAGTTTTGCACCACTAAAGAATACAGGCATTTTTTTATAAACACGTTTTATTTATCTTGCTTAGATCCGTAACTGCTGGCTGTAATTTCCCTTAAAAGGGGAAACCAATCCAAACACATACTGGTGCTTTTCAAAAAGAGAACAATTTAAAAGGGCAGCAGCAGTAGCAGGGATTTGAGATTTCTTAAAATCTTTAGGCTGCAGAATAGAAACATGTGACCAAAAGTAATATGAGTATCTATTAATTTCCATCAGTACCTGCATCAGTTATTTTGGTGATATTACAGCAAGATCAAGTATCAGTGACAGACAATGTGCAAGTCATAAGGAAAGATAAAAGAATACCAGTCCCTACAAATGTCATTGCTATCCAGGAAATGTGTTCAGGAGAGAACTCTTTTAACACTTCACATTAAAAACACAAGTGGCCAACCAGATTACATATTCTATTCCTTACAGAAAAATTTAAAGTGCCAATCAAAGCCTAATTTTGGGTTTACACAATTATTAACAGTTACACAAAACAATTAATGCCCCCCCCCTTGGCCACAGCACATCAGCCTAAGAGAAAACTGCTGTAACTAAGGGCGTGCCTAAGCCGTCCATCAGCTTATCATCTAGGGGTATAAGCATAGTTTATTATGTGTTGTAAACGTTCAGTGCTTCCATCTAACAGAAAAGGGGAAATGCAGTTGCTGTGTTAAAACCACACTTCACTTCTTCCATCTTCTTTTCATGTAGAAGTTTAAATATAACAATTGTCTGAATAAAACATTAAAGGGGTTTACAGATTTTTTTTATCCAAATTTGCTGCAGCACTACATAACATCAATGGAGCCAGTCAGGTTATTTATGCCTGTTCAGTGAACTATGGAGTTTTTCATCACCTTGAAATTGCCATTTTCATTTTTATTCAGCAAGAGTAAAAATTCTGGATTTCATGTGCAAGGCTCAAGATGATGCTTAGGACAGAACATGCAGAGTAATCGTTGTTTCTTTCCATATCCAGGTAATATAAAGCTGACAACTGTAGTAGTGTCTTTATGGGCAATGAAAATAATCCCTTTACTATGAATTTCCTATAAAGGAGAAGAAAGAGATAACTCTTCTGGTAACATGTATGGTACACTGGCCAGTGTGTTTTTGGCGTTTAAATGTAATCCTGTGAATTAGATTAATTCACTTGCTGAGCATTCATTTGAGGCATCCCTCTGTTGGGTCTTGGGGGCCCTCCACGACCTAGAAAAAAACACAGCATTTTATTTTTGGATCAGTTGAGATCCTCTAATATTCAGGATGCTTCTCTTTCCCTCTGACTTAATCTCCTGGAATACTTTTCCAATTCCTAAAGATATCAGATCTGATGTATGGTCACTCACCAGGTGCAGACGCTGAAATGTATATACTGTACTGTACATAATAGACTTGCATTTTAAGTCCTGCTCTCTCAACAATTCCTGACCATTTTACTGAAATGAAAATACAGCTGAAATTCTACTGCGCAGTTCCATATATAAAACAGGAACCTCACCAGCAACTAACTGCCACTAATTAAAGGCGATTTTGGTGGGCACGTGACTCATAAACAATGTGAGAAACTTATGTGCATCCCCAGATTGCCAAAGGGAGCCTTTAATCATTGGCAATTTGCTGTTGATAGTGTCACTGCTGCTGCGCATGTGGAGATACTGTATGCAACTGAATTTCACCAGTATGTAATCATAATGTGTGACTTAAATTTAGATGAACCTGAAATCCTCCTTCTCCTCCTCTTCTTTTGCTGCCTGTTGAAGATTCTTATACCAAGTTTAAGTTAGTCCATCCAAAGAATATATTAACTTTCATTCATTTAAGGGTAAACCCACTTGCATTGCACAGAGTCCTCCTATAATAGTAAACAGAGCCCCTTCCTTGTCCACCTTTTATTATATACACAATCTGTAAATAAAATGTACCACAATTTAACTATACGTAAACTGAAAACAGCTGGCTGGATAGCTCAGTGGTTTAGATATCTGGCTCCAGAGCCAGAGATTGGAAGTTCAATTCCTCACTGTACCTCCTTCACACTTCAAATATCTGCAAGTTTGCAACTGCATATTCAATTCAGTAATTCATCACTGAATATTACCTCGAGGTGCTCCCCGAGGACCACTTTGTCCAGAGCCACGCTTGAAGTTCTGTTGATAACCATCCTAGAATAAAAGACAATCATAATCCCTTTACTACTGAAACAAATGATGTTTAGAGTCAAAACAATTGTCATTATTCTACAAATAATGTGAGGAATCTGAACAAAATTCCTAAAGGTCAGAGTGATGCTCCCTCTATTTCTCACTAGGCTTCTTAAAAAAAAAAGGTGGGTTACTTACCTGTAACCATGGTTCTTCAAGTGGTCATTTTGTGAATTCACACAAAAGGGTTAATCCAGCGCCAGCGTTGGTCCTCTTGGAACATTCTCGAGCTTTAAGAGAAAAGTAACAAGTGTAAGGCTGCCTATAGTGCGCATGCTCCACCCACCCAAGCCTCATTTCCATTTATCTGCCACAGGTACCCGAGCATGAGCTAGATACCAACAGTGACAGATAGTGGAGAGGCCGGGCGGGATTATGTGAATTCACAGAATGACCACTTGAAGAACCATGGTTACAGGTAAGTAACCCACCTTTTTTTTTTAAGAAGTCTAGTGAGAAATAGAGGGAGCATCACTCTGACCTTTAGGAATTTTGTTCAGTTTCCTCACATTATTTGTAGAATAATGAAAATTGTTTTGACTCTAAACATCATTTGTTTCAGTAGTAAAGGGATTATGATTGTCTTTTATTCTAGGATGGTTATCAACAGAACTTCAAGCGTGGCTCTGGACAAAGTGGTCCTCGGGGAGCACCTCGAGGTAATATTCAGTGATGAATTACTGAATTGAATATGCAGTTGCAAACTTGCAGATATTTGAAGTGTGAAGGAGGTACAGTGAGGAATTGAACTTCCAATCTCTGGCTCTGGAGCCAGATATCTAAATCACTGAGCTATCCAGCCAGCTGTTTTCAGTTTACGTATAGTTAAATTGTGGTACATTTTATTTACAGATTGTGTATATAATAAAAGGTGGACAAGGAAGGGGCTCTGTTTACTATTATAGGAGGACTCTGTGCAATGCAAGTGGGTTTACCCTTAAATGAATGAAAGTTAATATATTCTTTGGATGGACTAACTTAAACTTGGTATAAGAATCTTCAACAGGCAGCAAAAGAAGAGGAGGAGAAGGAGGATTTCAGGTTCATCTAAATTTAAGTCACACATTATGATTACATACTGGTGAAATTCAGTTGCATACAGTATCTCCACATGCGCAGCAGCAGTGACACTATCAACAGCAAATTGCCAATGATTAAAGGCTCCCTTTGGCAATCTGGGGATGCACATAAGTTTCTCACATTGTTTATGAGTCACGTGCCCACCAAAATCGCCTTTAATTAGTGGCAGTTAGTTGCTGGTGAGGTTCCTGTTTTATATATGGAACTGCGCAGTAGGATTTCAGCTGTATTTTCATTTCAGTAAAATGGTCAGGAATTGTTGAGAGAGCAGGACTTAAAATGCAAGTCTATTATGTACAGTACAGTATATACATTTCAGCGTCTGCACCTGGTGAGTGACCATACATCAGATCTGATATCTTTAGGAATTGGAAAAGTATTCCAGGAGATTAAGTCAGAGGGAAAGAGAAGCATCCTGAATATTAGAGGATCTCAACTGATCCAAAAATAAAATGCTGTGTTTTTTTCTAGGTCGTGGAGGGCCCCCAAGACCCAACAGAGGGATGCCTCAAATGAATGCTCAGCAAGTGAATTAATCTAATTCACTCTGTACTAGAGGAAGAGGGGGGAACATATACAGAAGGCCCTGATTCCACTGTATCATAAATGCATCCCTTAACGAGTCCTTGCCCAGTCCGGCTCAGGATGCATACTTGCCGCACTTGGCATTTCGATGAGACGCGAAGATGTCCACAGTAGGAGTTCCCCATTGGCGACAAAGATCGTGGAACACTTGGGTATTGAGCTCCCATTCGTGTGTTTGATATGGAAGACGGCTGAGATGGTCTGCTACAGCATTCTCTGTTGTGGATACATGTATGGCTACCGGGAATATATGATAGAGGTAGCACCACTCCCAAAGATGAATGGTCAGGTAACATAGCGATTGTGAGCGAGTCCCTCCTTGTTTGTTGATATAGTACATGGTCGTGGTGTTGTCCATTATTGCCTGAACACCACGACCTTGTACCATGGGAAGAAAGGACCGGAGTGCCTTCATAACAGCTATAATCTCTAGATGGTTGATGTGGAGGCTGGTTTCCTGGGAGGACCAGAGAGCATGTATCATGGGTTGGCCACAATGTGCTCCCCAGCCCGTTGGGCTCACATCTGTGTTTATTTGAACAGTAAGCTGTAGTGGCTTGAAAGGTCTGCCTATTTTCAAGTGTGGAAGGTAACTCCACCACTGGAGTTATTTGGCAAGCTCTGGAGTTACACGAAGGCGCTTGTGTTGACTGTCTGTCATGGGATTGAATAGAGCAAGAAACCAAGACTATAGAGACCTGAGTTTGAGACGTGCATGAGACAGGGCCGAGGTGGTCGAAGCCATGAGGCCTAACAGATGTTGGGCGTGCTTTGCTGTTACGTGAGCCGTCGGTTGAAATTTTCTTAGAGCTGTCTGAATTTTTAATATTCTTTCTTTGGGTAGAAAGATCCGTGCCTTGGTTGCATCTAGGCGAGCACCTATGTAATGAACCACCTTGGATGGTCTGAGGTTATTTTTTTCATGTTGATGGTGAGGCCAAACTTTGGGAGTAACCAAAGAACGAACCTTGTGTCTTTCAGGGCCTGCTTTCTGGATGGGGAGACCAGCAGCCAGTCGTCTATGTATGGGTAGATGTGGATGCCTCTGAGGTGCAGGTAAGCTGCTATCGGTGCCATAATCTTTGTGAATGTCCTGGGAGCTGTCGCATGTCCGAATGGGAGGGCCAGGAATTGATAAATGGTTCCTTGAAATATGAAGCGAAGATACTTGCGGTGGTCTGGATGAATGGTTACGTGAAAATAGGCATCTTTCAGATCTATAACCATGAACCAATTGTTTTTCTTTAGCAGGGGCAAAGTGGATTCCAGCGTCACTATGCGAAAACGTTGTGGATGTAGGTGTTTAGAATTCTTAAGTCCAGAATTGGTCTTATTCCTCCATATTTTTTTGGCACGGCGAAGTACCTGGAGTAGAAGCCATTTCTTAGATCTGTTATGGGCATGGGTTGGATGGCATGCTTGCATAGAAGTGATAGAATTTCCTCTTCTAGAGCAATGTCAAAGGATGTGTGACTTACAAACCCTAAGGGAGGTAACTCTATAAATTCTAGACGGTAGCCGTGTTGAATGATTTTTAGAACCCAGGAATCGTTTGTGATAGAGATCCAGTTTGACAGAAAGGGTAGAAGTCTTGTAGTATTTGTGTCTAGTGTGATGCTTATGGGAGAGTCAAAGGTACTGTTTGGATTTTTTGGCAGGTGGTTTACAGGACTGCCGACGCTGTGACTGCTGAGACTGGTAACTGGGAGTGGAAGATGAAGCCTGAGAGGATCTTTGTTGAGATAAGTTCCTATAGGGTCTGAATTGTTGTGAGGAGTGCTGGTATTGGGCATAAGACTTACGCCATTGATACTTATTGTAACGAGGTTGAGGTTGAATGGAATATGACTTGGAAGTCTTTTTAGCTTTGTGAAGTTCTTCCAGGTGATTATCTGTCTTTTCGTTGAAAAGTCCAGTGGCATCAAAAGACAGGCTCTCAACCTTGTTCTTAACATCATCAAGTATGTTGGCAGCTCTGAGCCAAGCATGTCTGCGTAAAGTAAGAGCAGACACAAGGACTCTGGTGGTGGCTTCTGCAGCATGCCTAGGGGACAATCTTTGATGCTTGGATACAGTTTGAGCTTCTTCGTAAAAGTTCAAAAAACTTTGTCTAACTTCTGGAATGAGTTTAAGTCTGGGCAAGATTTTCAACCAGAGCTGTTTTTGATATGCTCCGAGAGCAGTCTAGTAGTTAATAACCTTCAGCAGAAAGGAGATCAGAGAATAAATTTTTCTGCCAATGATCTCCAACTTTTTCCCCTCCTTATTGGTGGGAGTGACATGAGATTTTCCGGTAGGCTTGATGCAACTGGTCTCCACAATTAGAGAGTTGGGGACCGGATGTTTGAAGAGAAATTTCGTGTCAGTACCATGGACACGATAGAAATTCTCTGTCCGGCGAGGCAATGAAGGCGTGTTGGAGGGTTGTTCCCATAACTCCTTGATGATGTCCATAATGACTGGGACAAAGGTGAGACTAGGAGGTGGAGACCTCTCCTGACTGATATCGCCAAAGATGAGGTCTTCAGCAGGTGGTGCAGGCTGATCCACCTCTAGCTTAAGTGCTCTTGCCAATCTTGATAACATTTATGAGTATGAGGAAAAATCCTCAGACGGGGAGGAAGCGTGAGTGTCACCTATGTCCGAACCAACCACTTCACCCCCCAGAAGGCCACCTTGGCAAGGCTGTGCAGGTAAGTCCTGGTCAGAGTCCGAAGAAACCTCATCCAGATCAGAAGAGAAAACATCCCTCTTCCTTTTGCGTGGTGGTTTTTCGACATCTTTTATTTATTTTATTTATTTATTGCATTTATATGACGCCCACCTAGACATAGTCTACTCTGGGCGGCTCACAACATCGAGTCTATTCTGTGATGTCGAAGATTGCTCTTGTTGCACTGTAGTACGGAGAGGCGCCACTGGTGGAATGGGTAGGACCGGCAGGGACGGAGCCTCTTTCGCTTCTCAGCATTGACGGCGATGACGAGGTCGCGGAGAGTCCGACGAGGATGACAAATAGATGTACTTGACTCGTTTATGTTTTTGACCTCGATCGGTCGAGGAAGAGTCAGAAGAACTGGAATGCCGTCGGCGTCGATGATGGCGACGTCCTCGAGGCGTGTAAGAATTGGCAGAAGATGACGAAGAACGATTTTGACGCCGATGCTTGGTTCAGCGTCGGTTCGAAGAGCGGTGTTTTCTCTTCGAAGACCGCTTCTTCCATGGTGATCTCGACCTCGAAAGAGGCGTTGAGATTGAAGGAGCTGGAGAACCCCGGCCATGAGAAGATGGGCTCTGCGGGGCAGAAGTTAAGCCCGCGGTCACGCCAACGAGCTGATTCGGCATCGGGGAAGAGAAGCCAGGTGGAATAGCCGGCTCAACTTGTCGAGGAGGGAGTGAAGGGGCTGCCTCCGACAAGGATTCACGGTCCATCAATGAATCCTCTAAGATGGGCAAAGGAAGGGACTCTGAAATTGGTGGAAGCTGCACCACAGGCTCTTTAGTTTTAACAGGTGCCTTTCCCTTACTTTGTTTTGCAGGTTTTGAAGAAGGGGCAGTATCCGATTTGGTCTTCGCAGCAGGTTTCTTAGAAGGACCTGGCTTCTTAGTTGCTTTGGCAGATGTCTTCGATGGAGCAGGCTGAGGGGAAACATCCGCCTCAGACCTTGGTGTTGCAGACAGTGAGGCCATCTCTGAATCTGAAGGTTTGGTGGCTGACAGGGTAGATTCCCAAAGGTGATATTTGAGGCGCTGTTGTCTCGCCTTCAGTACTGCCTTCGTGAAAGTTTTGCAATGCTGGCAAGACTTTGTGAGGTGGGCTTCTCCCAAACAAAAAAGGCAACAATTGTGTGGGTCCTGGTGGGGAATTTTCCTAGAGCAGTCCACGCAACGACTGAAGGGGCCAGACGGCATAAGATATAAGAGTCTATGGGCAACTGTTACGGAGCGGGAAAAAACCGAGGCAGCCAAGTTGAAGGAAAAAAACGATAGCGAAGTCCTAAAAAACAGTCCACGTCAAGGGATATAGAATTCGCTCAATGTAAAAAGTCAGTCCGAGTCGAAAAACCAGAAAAATACAGCAAATAAGACGAATAGAAACAGAGCTTGAAGTGAGAGGTTCCAAATCGCTAGGCGGAAAAATGGAACTGAGGCTTGGGTGGGCGGAGCATGCGCACTATAAGCAGCCTTACACTTGTTACTTTTCTCTTAAAGCTCGAGAATGTTCCGAGAGGACCAACGCTGGCACTGGATTAACCCTTTTGTGTGCATTCACAGAAGACCACGGTGAAGAACTGACTTGTTTCTTTTGAACTTCTGCCTCTCAGCCCAACTATCATCACCATTCTGTAAGTTCGTATGTTTTTGTCAAGTAGTTTGGGAAGTTTTTAAAACTCCATTTAAATTTTACAACTTCTAGACATCTAAGTAGCCAGAGAATCTTTTAATATACAACCAAACCACTGCTCTATTTTTAATGGCCCTCTTTTGCTTTTTAACAGACAGGCACATAACCATACAAGTGTATTGATAAAGAGAGTAACAATCACATATGAATGCATGAAAGACTAGAAAGACGAAAACTGCTCCTATTGGCATCCAATGTGACAGCTACAGGATAGCTCAGTGGTTTAAGTATCTAGCTCTGGAGCCAGAGGTTGCAAGTTGAACTCCCCAGTGTGCCTCCCTCATGGGGCTGTACTCGATGATCCATAGGGTGCCTTCCCATTCTGCAGTTCTAAGATGATACTGATGATGACAATGATGAACTGTCAACTAAAGATCTTTAAGAGTAGAAATTCATATTTTAAGATTAACATAATCACCATATTAATTCCTATTAAGTTTTGAAAATGAGAAACTCTAGTAACCTATTAAAAATAAATCAGAATTTCACTACATATAAATAGGGAAACCTGTTCACTGTTCAAACAACTTACCCGCTGATAGTTGGAATAGTCCCGAGGAGCACTAAACTGTGCCTGTGTATAACCACTGTTTGGAGTGTTGGAAAATGAAGGTCGGTAGCCATCATACCCGCCTAAAAATCAGAATAAAACCCTTAATGAAATGAATTAATTTTATGAAATATATATGTATAGTCAACATTTTATGGCAATATTCAAGTTAAGGTGGAAATAGTCTGCATTAGAGAAAGACCATGTATTATCTAATATACTGAGAAAACAACACTGGGAGGGAGAAACATGTTGATTCCTCCTAGTAAACTTTTTTATATGCTTCCTAACAAAGGCAACATTTCACTCTAGTCAAAATATGCTAGACACAATACTGGATGGCAGAAGAGCAAAGTCTTCCTATGTCTATGCCACATTTAACACTTTCTGATGGAAAAATCAATGGAAAAGTGTTTAACCTGCACCTGGGCTCCTGTGTGCCATTCAGTCTCTTCAAGATTTCACACTGGGCATAATATATACGTACAGTATTTCTAAAGCATAATGTTAAGTGATTTAATAAACGCAGGCACCAAAATAAAGAATCCCACCAAATGTCAGTTTGACTAAATGAAAAACTTGCTTTTGTAAGCCAAGGAAGCAACAAGCCCTGAAAAAAGATGCAGCCATTTAGCAAGTTATAAAAGGATAAGTCAGTTTCATATTGCAACATATTAAGTCTCCACTGAAAACAACATCATAGCTTGGTGTCATGTACTTTTTGTTTTATTTTGTTCTTTTTTACTAACAATCCAATAGAGCAAATGAAGCAAGCTTAGACAACCCCGTAGTACATTATGTCATTTAAAAGAAATTAAGGCATGCTACTATGATGCTTAAACTTCTGGACATTTTGCATTTCTGAAAAACATTCAGAATTAGTCTTAAAAGGTTCTTAAGTTTTTACCTCTAAACCCATTGGCTGGTCCCCTGTATCCATTCATTAAGCCTCGAGTGCCGCGTGATCCACCACGAGACACTCCCCGGCTGTTATAATAAGGCTGACTGTTACGTGGGAACCCAGTATTCTGTTGTGGAGGCTGTTGGTGGTTACCTGCCACTTGATGGGACTGGTCCGGGGTACCATGGTAGGTGCCAACCACTAAAATCAAAAACACCAAGAAAGTACAGAACATTTGAACTTAACAGTCCAGTTTCCTAAAGATTCAAATAATATCAAACTAACTCACCAATGCACTCTGCTTAAGAGTCACCAAGTAGGATAGTAAATGTTAACCTACCCAAAGAAAGATTGTTTGCAGAATTAAATCCAACATAGCAGTTGCATTTCCTAGAAAATATTCCCTAGATGTCTGCACGCTCTACAAAGGTTCCAGCTTCAATTTAATTTGCTAGCAGTTGTTAACAACATTTCTTCTTTTACTGAACAGAAGACTGGTTTTATTTAATATGGTACACAAGAGCACCAATATTACCTAATGAACTCAAACACCAATTCTCTACTTTGTAAGTCTCTAGAAATATGTGAGAACTGCTTCTCCTGAAACTACATTTTGAAAATATTATTTCAACAATGCTGGCCAGTTGGTTGTCATCTGCTGAAAATTAATTTTTAGCACAAAGCATTTAGTCTCCATATCTCACATGTTTACCTGTCTGAAGCTGCTGTTCTTGCTGAAGTTCTGACTGCTCTACTTGGTGAGGCTGATTGGAGAATGTCTGGCTGTAAGTGGTCTGGTACTGACTTTGTTGCTTTAAGGTTTCTGGCTCATTGACAGGAGGAACAGGTGCATTCATGTTAAATACCTATATGATAAATAAATAACCCAAGCACACCCCTTAAGTCTTTAGCAAATATTGTGACAGAAATCAAGCACAATTCCACAAAACTGCAAACAACAAAAATGCTGCGACACAATTACCCACTGTATTAGCAGAATGCTGATGTTTAAATGTTTTACATGAAAAATAAATCTTTAAAAGTACTCACTGTCTGCATGGACTGGAATGGAGCTGCATTAACATTGATCCCACTGCTATGCAAAGGTTTGCTAGACGCAGCCTGAAATACCTGAGGCTGGGACACAGCTGGAAGTGGTGATGATGCTGGTGTCTGATCAGCATTTAAGGTTATTGACGCCTAACAAACAAATTTCAATCTGATGTTAACAAGCAATGTAATATCTTGTTACAAAGCATAAGTTCTTGCTGATGAAATGCTATTATTATTACAAGAACAAGCTAAATTATCTCCATTTACTGTACACTTACTATTCTGCTCCAAAACATGACAGAAAAAGATCCCAGCACTCTCTTCTGAATTACCTTTCCATCTGAAATACAGGTGGGAACTAAGTTCTTGTGTAAATCACACTAATGTTCTCCTCCATATCAAGAAAGCATTCATTGTACTCAGTAACCCATTGATTAAATGTACAGATGCAAGCATATATTACTGAAGTAACTGCTTCTAATAAAAGGGATGTCGAATTTGAGAAGATACAAAGAGGATTAAACATGCAGAATCTAGAAAAATGGTTGAAACACAATACCTAAAATGGTGATTTCCACATTCTTTAGAGAGCCATTCTCTTACTATATACATAAAACTCTTCCCAAGCAGAATCAGGTCTCATAATTTGTCTGCATCTGGTCAATCAGTTCTTTCTGAGCCTCATGCTCTGTTGAATGTGAAGCTGTATGGTTTAATTGTGGAAGACACCAATAGGACTGGGTCAAGTTTTAAAATTTACCAGAGGCTCCCATCAAAACCTCTGGGTAAATCCTTATCATGAATCTCATATGGTTTTACTGGTGTTTGTGCTTAGCAACATTCTTCTGTATACTTTAATTGTGTTTAGAAACACTAACAGCTATTCACTGCTCTTAGCATGTACAAACAAATCTGACCTAAAATTTAATTTCACACTGGCTTCCAGCTAAACCAGATGAACAGAACAACAACAAAAAATGTTTAAATGTCATTACATTTACAGGCCTACACATAATTTTATTTTATAGCACAGTCTGACTGTAAGCACCTAAAGACTTTTTTTTAGGTATTTGGGCAATGTTAGGGACATTTATAAGGCCTTTGTAACAAACAGGGTAGATAAAAATCAATCTTTTTTTACAAAAATCATACCCTCCCTGGACATGGTCAGCAATGCAATAATGGCTTGACAAAGCTGGACAAATTTAGCTTACAACTGTTGCAAACTGCCAGGCATGCCTTATCATTTCTATTTTCCAAATGGTTGGATGGATAATTCAAATTAGAGAAGACACTTTCCTGGCAACCTAAGGTCCTCATCCAGGTTCCAATGGAATGGAGATTACTGTAAGTCTGAGGCAAGGTCAAGTTATTTTAGTGACATGATATTCAATACTTCAAAACTGATTCACTTTCAGCCTAACCTTGAAATTGATAGAAACTTTACAGGGTGACAATAAGGAACATCCATACCCAATAGTACAGTGGTGCCTCGCTTAACGAGCGCACCGTATAACGATGAAATCGCATAGCGATCCGTTTTTTCGGATGGCTAATGCGATCGCTCAACGTTTTTTAAATGGGGAAAAATTCGCTTTGCGAAGACCGGTAAGCGTTTCGCTTACCGATCTTCGCAAAACGAACCCCGACGATCAGCTGTTCAGCGGCCAAAAGGGCCGCTGGAAGCCGGGAAATGGCCTAAAATGGCCGCGCGCAGCATTTTTGCGCCCTCGTTAAGCGAGGCGAGGGCGCGAAAATGGCTGCCGGCCATCCTGAAGCTTCGCTGAACGGTGAGTATTTGGCCTATTTGGAACGCATTAAACGATGTTTAATGCGTTCCAATGGAAATCGCTGCCCCGTTCAGCGATGCTTCAGCATAGCGAAGGTTAATCCGGAACGGATTAACCTCGCTATGCGAGGCACCACTGTAGTTTTTTAAGGATAGTTTAAAGGAAGCTCACGGATTGACACTCAGATATATTTGATATTACTTAACAGAATCACACCACTGCTACCAAATGTAATGAATTACCAAAAGAGAAAATATTTAGTTTTCTGCCTGGCAGAAATACCTGATGAACTACAATACCTTCATTGACATATAGTGCTACTGAAGTACTTGCTATTACATTATATAGAAATACTGTTCCAAGATTTTTGAATATAATCATATACAGATATGACTGAGCAGAACATTACACAGCATTCATTGCAAAGGCAGACAAGGCTAAGAAGAAAGGGATTTATTCTGTTTAAGAAACATGCAAGATGAGTACCTAATATTTGTACTGCTATGGAATAATGTTATTAAACTCTGTCAGGTCTAATGCATGTAAATTTTATTGGAAATGACCACCCATAGAGGATACAAATAAAAAAGGATGTTTTTTGGTTGATTTCACTGGGAAGAACCTGAACATTAATTTCTTTCATATACAATGATTCCACTGCAGGATGAAGTGTTGCTAGATTCTTAAGGACTCTACATTTAAAAAATCTTGACAGTTTGTCCAAATGGCACAGTGTCTGTAAACTGAAATAATTTATTACATATACTATGTAACAAATTAACCCATATTACTCAATGTAGTCAGAAGACCTTGCGTGATGATTTAACCATTCTAAACAGTTATGACTATGTTTGACAATAGAGAGGCAACAGGTTTGTGTAAGATATCACTGTGAAGGTATGAATAGTATACATACAGTAACTGATAGCTGGAATGATTGGCAGATGAGTCATAGAATTTTGAATACAAAGTTGTATGCTGACTGGTTGATGCAAATAGAATGTGATGGGAGGTGGCAGTCATAGAGAAGGGGCTATTTTGAATAGTCAGAGAGAGGCTACACTACTTGAGTTACTGCAAAAAGGCTAAAGAAATTGTGTAATGTGTGGAGTCTATAGAAACAAAGTTTAGAGATAGGATAGCAAATCATAAGAAATATGTATTTCCCTAATAATTGCATTTTGTGTGATCCTGAGAATAACTTTCCCCAACATTTATATTTAAGTATTATTTTTAAAGATATTTAACAACCAGAAACCAAAATGTATAACATCTACTTCAGCTCAGGCAATGCTAAACCAAAACTTGGAGAATTAAAAAAAACTAACGTTAAAAAAAACCCTTCTCACTTTACAGTTGAATAATATACTGTAAATACCAACTGGACAGGAAGGCACTAATGAGTTCGCATAGAAGAAGGGGCAATTTTGGATAGGTGGCTGTCCTCTGAGCTAATGCCTAACCTAGTGGCACTGAAGAAATAGCTTAGGTTCTCAGGTGAAAGTGCCAAAGAGGTGACTGTGAATAGTTGGGGAGTCTGTAGCTCACGACACAGTGATAATGGTGAAAAGATATGTCTCCTTGGGGATGCACAACCCCAGGATATTGTACTCAGTGATAATCACTGGGCTATCTGGCTACTCTTCCAACAACAATCTGCTTCAAGATTTTACATGAAATCCTCTTGCACACTTTCATCTCTACTAATATTACTGAAAATTAATATTCTGACCGAAAATAAATGCAAACTTTTTCCATCATCATCTTCATGTGTTATTTAGCTGTAGCCTTCATACACAATTTATTTTGAGAGTACAGTATCAACGTACTACCGGGGGTCTAAAAGATCCCTTTAAAGTACTAGATAGAAGTAAAGGCAAATTGGTTTTTACATTGTTCCAGCTTAATAATACCGATAACAATAGATGTTAGAAAATACTGTAAGTGTACCACAGAAACTATAAGATAGCTCAAGAATGTTTTAAAAGCACTACTGGAGTTCGATTTTTTAAAACAAAATTAAAAACATTAAAAATAAAAATGCAGCGTTGCAAGCTACCACTATGAACACATTAATTGTGATACAAAGAAAAAGTCAACTAAAAGCAAAATTACTCTCCTAGTACACAAATTATTTCCCAGATCATCAGATTCTTAATTTATTCCGTAATATGTTTTTCATACATAAAGTCATGGCCAAAAATATTGGCACCCTTCCAATTCTGTCAGAAAATGCAACCCTTCTCTCAGAAAAGTGTTGCACTTGCAAATGTTTTGGTACTCACATGTTCATTTCTTTGCTTTGCGTTGGAACAACATAAAAACACAGGGAAGAAAAGTCAAATCTGATACAATCCCACACAGCAACCCAAAAATGCACTGATCAAAATTATTGGTACCCTGTCTAAATTGTAAGAAATAATCCAGTTAAGATGGAGAAAAGTTGACTCAGCTTTTGTGTTGTGTGTGACACTGACCATGGAGAAAGGAATGAAGTGTAAAGAGTTGACTGTGGATTGGGGAGAAAAATTGTGGAAAAACATTGACAATCTCAAGGACACCACTGCTGACACAAAGGCATAAATGATTACCCAAGAATTTTGGGGTAAAACGTAGTGGCCAGTGTCAGAAAGTTGTGTCTCCACAAGAGATCATGGGTCTTCCAGCAGGACAATGACCCAAAACACACTTCAAAAAGCACTCAGACATGGTTAGTTAAAAAGCACTGGAGAGTTCTGAAATGGCCAGTAATGAGTCCAGATCTGAATCCCATAGAACACCTGTGGAGAGATCTCAAAACAGCAGTTGGGAAAAGGCATCCTTCAAATCTGAAAGCCCTGGAGCAAAAGAAGAGTGGTCCAAAATTCTAATAGAGAGGTGAAAGAAACTCATTCCTGGTTACAGGAAGTGACTGATTTCAGTTATTTTTTCCAAAGGGGTGCTACCAAATATTAAGTTAAGGGTGCCAATAATTTTGGCCAGTGCATTTTAGGGACTGCATCAGATTTGACTGTTCTTCTCTGTGTTTTTGTGTTGATCCAATGCAAAGAAATGAACATGTGAGTACCAAAACATTTGCAACTGCGACAATTTTCTGGGAGAAGCCATTTGCAACGGTACCAATATATTTGGCCATGACTATACATAACATTATACAAGAAAATTGGTATAATCACAAAGCAGTGGCACCTTTTCTACAGGCAAGATGCTAAATTATTCTTAATAAGTATAAGCTGAATTTTTAAGTTAGACAATAGATTTTTTTAAAAATGAAGATGCCAGAGGAAGAAAGACTAGGTACTGGGCAACAGAGGAAGTATGATTCAATACATATTTTCTAAACCGTTTTACATACATTTAGTGAACCCCACAGCTATCACAATGAACTAGAGGAAATAATTTTCTGTGCCAGAAATTTTAGAAACAATGAGTCAGATTCAACCTTGCCCTTTTTTGCACATGGAGAAACTCTATTTAAGAAGGGAACTGGGAATGCAATACAGACTTTCCAAGTTGAGCAATGGATAAAGAAAGTTTCTACATAGTTGTTGCGGGGTTTTCGGGCTCTTTGGCCGTGTTCTGAAGGTTGTTCTTCCTAATGTTTCGCCAGTCTCTGTGGCCGGCATCTTCAGAGGACAGCACTCTGTGCTCTGGTGTAATTGGCTTGGGAATGCAGCCTTTATGGCTGTGAGATAGGCTTTTGTCTTTTTCTGTAGATGGGTGTTGTGGGTGTATTGTTGTGCTAAGGAGAAGAGATTATCTGTCACTGTGGTTGATGGGTGTCGTTAGCTGGTCTCTTGTGTGTAGTGATCCCCTGTCCTTGTGGCTGGGTGGAGTTCATTGAACTTTTGCACACTATTTTTGAGAGCTGGGAGCCAAGTTTTGTTGAGCTTCACACTTTCCTCTTTTTTGTTGAAGTTCTGCTGGTGCTTGTGGATTTCAATGGCTTTCCGTATAGTGATGGAACGGATTAACGTCGCTATGTGGGGCACCACTGTACAACGTTTCTACAATTAACCCTTCTTTCTGCAGTTCCCACTACCAACATGAAGTGTTCCAATTAACCTCCCACTAATCCAAATTGGAAAAGAAAATGATAGTGAGAAAAATTGCTGCCCCACCTTTTTCCACCAGCAGCAAAAGAAATCCTCAGAAAAACATACTAAATCCAACTAAACTTGCCTGCAGTCATACTTTCTTATACATATTACTAACTAAATTTAAACGAAGCAGGCAACTTTGATGAGCTTTAGGGCTGTGGGCCAGAAAAGGCCAAAAATGGCAAAAACATGCAAAATGAAAAAAAGAAAAGCCATTCAACCCCCACCAACACACAAATGGCCCCTTTGGTCCCCAACAGACACTTTTGAGTCTTCAACCTGCCTTACTAATAGAAAAGTCACTATAAACTGGAACTGATTTTCATACAACTAACATACAGTGGAACCTCTACTTAAGAACTTAATCCGTTTTGGAATGGTGTTCTTAAGTTGAAATGTTCTTAAGTTGA